TTTTAATTTTGGATAACAAACACATAAAAAAGCATAGGGCCTATAGAGAAAGGAATACAATGGAAGGAACGCATTGCATAATAGATACAGAGTCAAAATTTTCTTTGGAGAAAAAAAAATTACCGCAAATACAGCAGAAAAATTTGAAAAATGTCTTCCTTTTGTTATCAGCAAAATTCAAGAGGACCTTGATTATTTGAAACAAGAAATGAAAGATGAGGTAAGGCAACCTCAATGAGATAAAACGAGTTGCTCATGAGGTAGATGAGAAGGGGTCTCGGTGATGACAGATTGGAAATAAAATTTGCCTACGAGTGGTAAGCCGGTGGGAGCCGTGCGGTGAGTCATGCTCTGAGGGTAAACTGGAGGAGCTCACCCAGCACAGAGAGGAAAAGCACAAGCAGAGGGGGTGGTGGCAGCCCGGAGACTGAGGACACAGCTCCGGGTAGTTACTGCTCCTGCGGAGAAGCTGCAGGGGCGGGAGTGGAAGCGCAGTAGCCCGTGCTCCAGCTGGACTCCCCTGGCTGAAGGAAACCCTGTATGCAGATCCTGAGAATCACCAAAAAGGGGCAAAATCATGAGGGACTGGCACCTAAATGTTAGCCTTTAAAATTTTTAAATTTGAAGCTTGCAAAAGAAGTTCTGCAAACATATAGATTGTGGAGAAAATGCACTACAAAACAACAGTAATTAGACAGGCCTCAGACCTGTCCTTCCCAATACTAAGTGTCAGAAGGACATACAGATTTTTAGTGCAAAAAAACACATTTTAACAATTCTAAAGGCAGTAGTCAGTCATGTTTGAAAGCAGCAGGGAAACATTACCAAATATTTAAGGTATATAGCATCCATAGAACTCCTGAAAATCATTTTTTGAAGATGTATCATGATTGACTGAACGATGAATCAAAATCAGTGTGGCCCTAGCTGGTTTGGCTCAGTGGATAGAGCATTGGCCTGTGGACCAAAGGGTCTTGGGTTCAATTCCAGTCAAGGGCACGTACCATGGTTGCAGGCTCCTCCCTGGCCCAGGCCCTGGTCGGACTCATGCAGGAGGCAACCAATAGATGTGTTTCACATTGATATTTCTCTGTCTTTCCCTCTCTCTCTTCCACTCTCTCTAAAAATTAATGGAAAAGTATCCTACGGTGAGGATTTAAAAAAAAGTCATCGGACCTTACGTAGGACATCACCAAAAAAGGGGGGAGCATGTTTAGTATTTAAATGATTTATTTTGAGTGAGAGAAAGAAAAGGAGGGAGAGAGAGAGAAACATCATTAGCTGCCTCCTGTACATCCCCTACTGGGGATCGAACTCATAACCTGGGCATGGCCCTGACCAGGAATCACACTGGTGACCTTCACGTGCATGGGATGATGCTCAATCGACTGAGCCACACAGGCCAGGGCTAGTTAAATTATTTAAGTGTATAGCTCATAAAATTGTTGTAAATATGGTTACAAACCAAGATTTTTCTCACAGTGTTTATAACAGTTCTAAGAACTGGAAACCAACTAGTTCAATTACAGGAGAACTGTTAAATAACTTGTTAAATAGAAAAGGAAATAAAGTGTTATATAGCTATTGATAGAATTTTTCTATGAAACATCATCTATATGTTGTAAATTAAAGAGACAAATAAAGCCCCTGTGTGCATAGAAATGAATAAAAATAAATACCTCAAAATCTTACCATTAAATTATTTCTTTTATTTTTAAACTGATGACATCATTATTTTTTAATCAGAGAAAAGATCTATTTTCAGTTAAAATAACCTGCCCTATAGAAAAGTATGGAATTTCATACTAGGGACTCTGCAGTTGTCATCTAGACCAGTGACATGAGTGGCAAGCTGCTTTTCAGGCACTGTTCAGAGATCATATTGCCAAGGAAGTAACACAATGAAGAAGTGAAATAAACCAATCAAATTAAACAGATCCCAGAGATCACAGCCTCTCCTGCAGCCAGTCCCACTCCTACTTGTTGGGGGTCTCATCCTCGTTGACTTGCTTTCATGACACCATCTCCTGAGGGACTGCCTGCTTGTGTTTCTGTCAGCAAGTTGTGTTCCCTGCTTTGCAGGCTTCTGAGGCCATTGTTGCATTGCATCAGTTTCATTCCACTTCCAGAACAACTTCTAATGCAGCAAGGTGTTTAAAAGGACTCTGACAGGATTGCCATAACCCTATCGCTTCCCACCAAGGAGGCTGTTGGAGCCGAGTGGTGAAGCTGTCAGATCTGAGTGAGAAAGTGAGAACTGCTCACCATCTCTAAGATGGGTCCCTGCTGACCCTTGTGGTTTCGTGTGATTGAGGTGCACATTGTGGAGCCGGGTGGTGAAGCAGTCAGATCTGAGTGAGAAAGTGAGAACCGCTCACCATCTCAAAGATGGGTCCCCCGCTGATCCTTGTGGTTTCGTGTGATTGAGGTGCACATTGGCAATAGTCCGGGACTTGGGCACACAGGTAAACAACATGTGCCTAAGGGCAGCTAGAAATTTTTTAAATTCATCTTTGCATTAAATGTTTTTCCACTATAAATATATTTTGCCAACAGATAGTATAGTTTTGGCAGAAGATAATAGTGTATCCCTTAACATTGGGAGTGAAGAGGAAAATATAGTAGCATTGAATAACAAAGGCTTGAAATACTTTGAGTGGTTTCAGCCCCCTGGTCTCCCTGGATAATACATTAAAAAAATAGTCATTAATCATTATGGGTTTTTTTCCTAGCAGGTAGCAAGGAAAGTCTAGAAAATGTTTTTCTTTTTCCCCTGGTCTCCCTGGATAATACATTGTAAAAAATAGTCATTAATCATTATGGTTTTTTTCCTAGCAGGTGTAACATCTACAGTAGCAAGGAAAGTCTAGAAAATGTTTTTCTTTTCTAAATCTTCAAGTAACTAACAAGTTGGAATGCATAAATATCATAAAAGAGGAATAACCCTATTACTGAAAACTTTTTCAGCCTTGCCTTGATTTTATCTAGTGTTAACACTTAATCTGAGCAAAAGGATTCTTGTGT